CTTGAGCTTTTGAGGCAGGTTGCAGAACCACTGAGCTAAATCCCTGGCCCAGTGCTTATATGATTTTTCATGTCCATTAGTATTTGCTTTATATAGTTGGGTGCACTAGTGTTTGGTACATATATATTAATGATTGTCATTTCTTCCTATTGGATTGTTCTCTTTACAAGGATATAGTGTCCTTCTTTGTCTTTCTTAATCAATGTTGGTTTGAAATCCACTCGATCTGCAAAGAGGTTAGCCACTCCCGCTTTTTTTCGGGTTCCTGTCGCATGGAGTATTATTTTCCATCCTTTAACTTTCAGTCTATGAGTTTCTTTTTGAATTGAGTGTGTTTCTTGTATGTACCATATTGTTGGGTCTTGCTTCTTGATACATTCTACCAATCTATTTATTTGATTGGTGAATTGAGGCCATTAACATTGATTGTTATAACTGATATGCCATGACTTTTTCTTTTTGTTGGATTCTCCCCTTTGCATTTAATTTTATATTGTGCCTGATGGATTAATTCTGCTGGCCTTCCTGGGGTTGTGATCCTCAATGTCTGTTCCTAGGATATTGTGTAAAATTTTATGGAATGCTGGTTTGGTATTCATGAAGTTCCTAAGGTGCTCTTTGTCATGAAAGTATCTTATTTCTCCATCAATTTTAAAAGACAGTTTTGCAGGGTACATCAATCTGGGTAGGAGTCTGTTTTCCTTTAGGGCTTGAAATAGGTCACTCCATGCCCTTCTTGCCTTGTGGGTTTGTGTTGAGAAGTCTGCTGTGATTCTGATGGGCTTTCCTTTGTGTGTGATTTGTTTCTTTTCTCTAACTGCTTATAGAATTTTGTTCTTCTGCTAGGTTTCTGGAATCTTAACTATTATATGCCTATGTGTAGAATTTTTTTGATAAAGGCTAGTTGGAGTCCTATATGCCTCACTTATCTTTATGTCAAGTTCCCCTATCCTACTTGGGTGTTTTCTGCCATTACTTCTGTGAACAAGTTTTTTTATGTCATCTGCACTCTCTCCTCTTTCTTCATTGACTCCAATCAGTCTTATGTTATTCTTCTTTGCATAATATAGAAGCTGCCAGATTGATTTCTCATGTTCTAGTTTGAAGAAATTTTTCTTTTCCTGGTCACTAATTGCAGTCCTATCTTCTATATCTGAAATTCTATCCTTGTATCAGCTCATTCTGTTGCATAAATTTTCAATGGAAAATTTAATCTCCTGGAAATGTTTGCATCTGTTTTATGGATTCCATTTGTTTCCTATGTTGGGATTCCATCATGTTCCTCAGCTTCTCTATTTTTTGGATCTGTGTCCTCTTTAGATTTATTAATCATGTCTTGTACCATGGGCACAACGTCTGCTGTTATCTGAGAAATTATTTCTGATTTCATTTTTTCCAGGTCCTCTTTTGTTGCCTGTTCAGGGACTCCAGGTGGTTGAGTATCTGTTCCATCTTGTTGCCCTTTGGGCTTGTGTTAGGTAATCTGGAAGTCTGGTTTTAAGACTTATTTACATTGTCTTCTCATTTCTACAGATGCAGCCTGCTGTGTCTTTGTTAAGGCAACTTTTTGCTCATCCAGTGGCCTTCAATTCTTAGCAAGCCACAGAGCAGCATTTACTCTGCTGCTCATCAGTCCACCAATTCCTGGGTTCAGAGTAATGGCCTTCTGGATCCCTGAGCTGACCTGTTGTCTAGGCAGGCTTCTGGCTGGGGTCTGTGCATACTTGGGATGGTATCTAGGTGTGCCTCTTGCTGGGCCCCTATATATCTGTTGTCTGGGAGGGCCTTTGGTTGGGGGTTGTGCACCCCAGTTCCTGTTGTCTGCACAGGCTTTAGCTAGGGTCATCACACACTTATCAATGGTATCCGGCAAGCCTCTGGGTATTGCTTGTGTGCCTATATAGCTCTTCTCTAGGTGGGTCCATGGCTATAGCTGTTGGTATGCTGGGCCTCTGGTGGAGGCCTGCACACCCTTGCAGCTCCTTTCTGTGTGAGCCCCTGGCCTGGGTGGGTGTGCAGGAGCCCCTGGTGTCTGGGCAGATCCCCAGCCAGGATCTGCCTGTAGCCTCACTGGTCTGGGCCACACAGCCATTCCCTGGGATCTGTCTGCATCTAGGGCTAGAATGGTGGGCCTCCAGCTGAAGCCCATGCACCTGTGCAGCTCCTCTCCTGACGGGCCCCTGGCCTGGGCAGGTACACAGGAGCCTCTGGGGCCGGGGTAGACCCCTGACTGGGATCCATCTGCAGCCGAATTGGTCTGGGCCATACAGCTGCTCCTTCAGATGTGCATGCACTCACTGATGGAATGGTGGGCCTCTGGCAGAGGCCCATGCACCTGTGCAGCTTCTCTCTAACCAGTCTATATTTTCTTCCATCTGTTACAAGTTGAAGGCTGACCATTGCTAAAGCAAAGGAACACATCATTTTCTTTTGTCTGTCTATCTTTTCCCTCATGATTTACCTTCATTGACCCACCGTTCAATTCCCAGAGGGTACAGTAATAAGAAAGCGAGCTCCCTGTGGGCTCAGGAGTGGTGAGTATGGTAACAGCAGTATTGAGAGGTCATCCAGGGGGATATGTAGTTAGCTCTACTCCCTCCATCATTATCTTGATCCACCTGGATGCTTACCAGCCCCCTGAAGCACAGAGGAGGTGGATTTTTGCCTTGCTTATTTTGCAGTTTTTCTTAGGGAATCATCTGGTGAGAAAAACAGTGCATTGCTAATCCTCTCCAATTCACAGAAGATCTCTTTGGAAATTCAGCATAATACAGCTGGGTTCTGAAGAAAAGTAGAGGTAAATGTCAGCCTTTGTCCTACAAGTCTTTGCAGGGAAATTCGGCATAATATAGCTAGGTTCTGAAGAAAAGTAGAGGTAGATGTCAGCCTTTGTCCTACAAGTCTATGCAGATACTTCTTTCCAATGGAACAGTAAAAGATAAACCAATCTAAACACAACAGAACACCCAAAAAGCAAATGGAGCAGACTCCAGGCATGAGATAAAGGATTCCTATGTGAGAGGTACACTCCTTTGCTGGAGTTCTAGATCTCTTTGTACAAGTAAGGACAAAGTTGAGTTTTGTGGTAACTTGTGGATCTGAAAAGGCTGCAGAATTAGCAGACCTTGTGTGAATGTTGTTCCATTATTTATTCAGAGTAGTCACATAGAAGGAGTTGTCAGAGCCCACATTAGGCAGGTCTTGCAGGCAGAAATTTCTCGTGTCCTCTTCAGGGGCCTTCTCTAAAGAAAGCATCACCACATTTTTAAAACATGATGGGCTTCATCTGGCTTCATTTTGGGTGGTGCAAAACTTTGTCCATGTTTTTTCAAGTTGGGAAATTGTACTGGGGTTGCGGTTAACCATGGGACACTCACTACCTACTCCCCTCCCACATTTATAGATTGTTCCATTCTTATTTAGTTTCCTCTTCTTAAGAAATATGGGTTCATTGTTCTACCATTACACTATTCAGTTACTGCCAGTTAAGTGGTAACAAATTTCAGAGAGGTCTTCTTTCTTTTTTAATTTCTATGGCTATATATCATAGTTCTGAGTTGCATGTCACTGGATTATAACTGGGATTTACCTGATCTGGACTTATGCAGGACATACCTGAAGAATAGAGCTTGATAACAATAGTCAAGGGGCTTCGTAAAATTTTTCACACTTTTAAATCATAGTAATTTAGGCTCTAGCCATGTTAGAACTAATCTGTAAGTGGCTTTCAGAAGACACTTATTAAATTTAAATAATTACATTTATTGAGTTTAAGACAAACATAATGATAAATTTTCTCCCAAAATCCAACATAAATAAAGGCTGCCATAGATGATCATGTAGACTTGCATCTTATAGGTAGCAAGACTGGGTCAGTTGAGAGAAATGAATTCAGGTTGTGTTTAAATGTCATTTATAATTTGTTTCTTTCACATTTGCAGCCTAGGTTGTTAAATTTTAGAAAGTAAATGTTTAAAGGATGCTCAAGTATTTTATATTGAATTTTAAAAGCAAAAGATTATGCAGTTACTTCAAAGTTATTTTTAAGTAATCATCTTTCTTTTAAAAAGTAAGAGTGTGCTTAACTCGGTAAGGTGGAATCCATTTAATGGCTGGGAGCACTGAGTCAGAAGTGTTGGAGAGTCCCCTGCCTTTTTCTAAGACTGTTTCTAGTACTTTCCCAGCCTTTCTAGAAAGCCCTATATTTCCAATGTACCTCTGAGGGCCTGTCATACCGTTTGGGAATCAGTTTTGTGGCTGGCAAGCACCCTGATCAAGAATTTTCCATACACCATCTGGGTCTTGGTGGAACATCACTGGGAAAGCTGCTGAAAATGAGGCCAAGTTTTCTTCTCTGTTCCAAGTCAAGGATCAAAGCTGGGGACACTTGAGCAGAGACTCCCTGCAGGAATAATGCACTTGGCCTCAGCTCTTGCTTTTTGATTTATGCCCCAGAACAGATGGGTATACAGCCTCACCTCCACTCACTCCAGTCCTGAGCTCTCTTGTGAAAAGTTTCTCTGGACAGACCCTAGTTCTGACTGCAGCTCCACCATGAACCAGTGTCTGCCCTTGGCAGGTCACTTTTTTTCTGAGCCTTTTCCCCCACCTCATTAAATGAGGAGGATAATGGCACTGAACTGCTTCAGTTGTTGTGAGGGCTGATGAAACAATGCATTCTAAGTACTTCATATAGTGCCTGCCATACAGAAGGACCCCAACAATCATTAGCAGTTATCAGAATAATCAACATGCATTTGGGAAAGAGTCCAGTCGCTTAGAGGGAAAAATGATTCAAATCATAGATTCCCTCATTTTGAAACAAAACGCTGATTGAGGTGAATAGCAGACGATTTATCAGGAAAACTCACTCCTTTTGGTTATCCCTGAACTCAGAATCAAACACTAGGTCTAGAGGTGAGATATTTTAGCTTCCTGATTCAAATCAAAAGTGCTCCATAATCAAGGCAATTTGAAAGTCTAACAGTTCTCACCTGTGAGAGCCCTTGTCTGTTCTTTCTTGGAACTGGCTCTTGAATCTGTTCCTTCTTCCTCCTCACTTCTTCAATCTAGAGGTGTGATTGGCTCCTCCTAATCTCCGTGCTCCACAGATATACCTCCAGGCAGCTGAGACAGAAAATACAAAGTATACTCAATAACCCAGTCATTGGAAAATTCTCATTTAAAACATTTCCATTGCTGTGATTTTTTTGGATTAAAATTTTTACTCTAGTTGATATTTTAAATACTTATGAGGAAACTGAGCTTTTGAGTGTATCAAAGGTGGGAGAGTGGGTTAAGAAATGTCTAGAAGATCTGCCATTACAGGACATGCAGGGGTGCCCCTAAACTGCCTTACAGGCTCACCTGATGCAACTTCCTCCATGCAGCCTTTGATCAGCCTCCTTGAGTTACAGATCTTGTGGCCAAGCCTTCTAAAGGCTCTGCTCTGTCCTTCTTAGTCACACCTATCTCTGGAATGGCCTTTCCTGAGTCCTCTTGCTCCTTGTACAGCCTCTGCCTGAACATCATCTCACAAGAGGAATAAATTTGTAGTCAGAAGAATCTAGGTTTGCATCATGGCTCTACTGCATCCTGGTTCAACAATATTGAGCAACAACTTACAGGCTTCTCATCTGCATGCAGCCTAGAAAGTTCAAGTTCCATTATGCTACTCCCAGCTCATTCACCAAGGTTACTTGGAGACAAGAATTCTGCTCTTTTTGTTACTGCCACTCTCATCTCCGTCACCTGGAGGTGACAGACTTTCATTGCCATTTAGAACATATTGGCTTCCAGGCAAGAGAGAAATCTATCAACCACCCTGCCACTGGCCCTCCTTGCATAACCCTGTGAGCACACCCACTGCTGCTTTTTGTGGTTCTTTTTGAAGAAAGCTCTCATGTTTTGGTCAATCAAGGATTTCCCTAAATGATGCTGATTGAATTTCAGTTTTACAGCTTTCTCTTCTCCAGATTATGGTAGATTTTAAATACAGATACATGTGTATCAAGAAACCCTATGTGCTCTTTAGGCCCCAGATTTTGGTTTACTCTTTAACTAGGGCAACTCTCTGCTTGATGAGTTTTCTCCTGAGGATTCACCGATCCCACCTGAAGTTAAGTCCTTTTTGTACCTGAGCACTCCAGGGTCTCTCCTGCATATCAGTGCAGCAAATGGTTTCTTAGAGGTCTGCAGGGGGAGGGGGGGGATATTTTATCTCCTCTCCAGGAAGCAGCACTTCCCAGCAAGCAGAATCTATTCAACATGTAAAACTAAGATAAAAATATATGTTTAAGGTGGATTCTAAGGAATGATAAATTATCCTAAATAACATACTTAAAGTAACTGGTGTACTTGTACTCCTGGTACATAGTTCATTCTTAATCTCCTGGATATCTGTTTGAATCTGTTACATGGATTCCATTTTTTTCCTATGCTGAGCATTCACGGTTTCCAGCATGGTCCTGGGCTCATCTATTTTTTTTATCTGTTTCTGTTCTAGAGTCTCTAATCATGTCTTTCATTCTGTTCACCATTTCTGTAGTTATCTGGGAAATTATTTCTGTTTTGAATTTTTCTAGAGCCTTATTCATCAGTTTTGTTAATTCTTGTGCTATCAATTCAGGGTGTCCAGGTAGTTGGTTATCAGATTTTTCCACCTCGTTTCTCCCAGAATTTGCCTTTGGTGAGCTGGAAGTCTGGGTTTGTGCCTTGCTTAGGTGTCTTCTCATTTCTATTTTTGTTGTTGGTACTGTTTTTGGTTTAATTATTGGGTTGATACTTCAATATTGCTTATTGTAAGTATCTTTGTTGTTTTTATTTAGAACCCTTACAGAATGATTGCTTCTCAGAGATGTCTTCCAGATATAGCTGGTCTTTAGGTTTTGAGTCTCTAATGACTCTTAGGCAATCTCATTTTCATTATACCAGGAAGGACAACTGATTAGATCAATCACAACACCTTAGCCCAAGTGATATAATCAGTAGCAATAATAGCATCAAGCACAGTTTAGAAAATGACAATTTGTGGTGATTATTAATCTATCAGCTGTGGGGGAGGGGTACTGCTGGTGCCTGCATGGTTCACCTCCTTGGTGCTGGGCAGGGGGCTCTGCTCCTTGGAGCTTGGGGGCAGTGCTACAGCAGCCCGAGTGGGTCACCTCTCTATTTCCTCTTGATCAAGAATCATAACCTAAATGATATAATAGGTAATGTGAAATAGGAAGGAAAAGGGCAAAGGGGAAGGGGAAGTGGGAGGGGTAGGGGAAAGGAAAGAAGGGAATGGAATTAATATGAGAAAATGAAAAAATGGAAACAAAGTCTCTGTAAATAGGGAGGGATGGAGGAGTTGAAGGGAGGGCAGGGTAAGGGGAAAAAATAAGAACCAAGAGAGATTATGTAAAGGTGCAAATTTCCAATGATGAATGTCATTATATTGTATACCTAAATTATACCAATAAAATAAAAATTAAAAATAAATAAAAATTAAAAACAAGAATCATAACATTTTCTGCAAGTCACCATGCTCCATTCTTCCCATACCCAGTAATGGCAGCCACATCTTTTGTGGCACTCACCATTCTCCATAGTTCATTCTTAAGTGACACAAATACTAGGTTACTAAACTTCACAGGAAGAGAGTTCCTTTCTCCATGCCCCCACAAAGATTAGTGTGTTGCTTTGGTTAGCCCTGATCCTATTCTTTGGTACATAGTTGTATCTCTCCCGTCATTGGGACCATCTCTTCTCATCTCTGTATCATTCCCATTTTCCACTTCCTTTGCCTCAGCACAGTGCCTGAGATCTCTAGCCCCTTTGGAGAAAATAAATATGAAACAAGCAAATTCCAATTTTCTTTGGAAAATAACTGTGTCAGCATATCTTTTGAAGCCTGTGTACTCTTTCTCAGCTATTTTGTAAGTGACTTCAGGTGAAGGTGTTTAATTATTGTTTGAGGCTCTGTTGCTAAGCCACGGTGTCTTATACAAGGCAGACACTCAAAGGAAGTCTGTTGAAGGTGATAATAATTGAGTTAATGCTTTCTTAATTGTTCAACTTATGACACGATTTGAGGTGCTATTATAACCCAAGTCCCTAAACACCTATCCCCCAAATAAACAAATAGAAATATCTGCCATATCCCCAGGCACTGTGTTGGCTTCTATTCTCAACTTAACTACCATTACAAGAGTGATTTCAACATGGGAATCCAGACAATCATGAGAATCAAATGGGTGCATGAGAATTTGAGAGGTACCAAAGCAGCCTCCCATACGTAGATCCACAGAATGACCTGGGAAGTATATTTAAAAATATACAGACTCTCCTGGTAGCTGTGATAGAGCCATTCAACTCCAGGGAGCAGAGGTCTTTGGAAATGTCAGTCTTCGGCATCATCAGGGATCAGTAAAGACTTTTGTAAACTGATCCACTGTGTTAGGTGTGCAATCAAGGAAAGGGAAAGGACAGGAAAAGGGTTGGCATGACAGTATTCTTAGCTAAAAGGACCTGGAAGGGGGAAGGACTTCCACAGGCAGAGACCAGCATATTGAGTAGCACAGAAGGTGAAGGCAGGCTGTTGAATTCAGGAAACTTGGAGGAATGTGGGATGAGACACAAATAAAGGAAAAGATGACTTCAGAAACAGGACTTTGGAGGAGCAAGGACAAGGAAGCAGGCATGAACTTTGAGGAGGTCACACAGCAGTTGGGTAAAAATGATCTCAGCCCTGGGATTTCCAGTGTGCCCAGTCAGGGATATTTCAGAGCTTCTGTAGTAAGTGGTTCTACCCTGAGCACAGAGATGGGGTCAAAGCTGTGTCTTGGGAGTGTTGTGGACTGTCACCAGGAGACAGAGAAGCATTAAGGGGGCACAGAGCCAGTGCTGGCCACTCTGGACATTTCAGAGCTAGAAAATTGTTCAGGTATATTTGAAGAAGAGCAAATTCAGAAAATGTGACTCAGGGGAATGATCTGTTTAAGAGGAAAAAGGTTGATCCTGATTAATATTTGCCATCATTTCACTCAGTGTTTTTAAAGAAGTGGAGGAAAAGATACAAACTCAATTTGTTCTTAGGCTGGGGCAGGCGGGGTGGGGGTGTGAGCCCCTGAACTTCAAAATGGGGCATGAATTGGGAACCCAGGTGCAGGCAAAAGCAGTCACCTGACATAATGGAGTGACCATGGGGATGGGCAAAGATAAGTCCCAGGATAGCAGCATGAGACCCAGAGGGGTTAGTATAATATTATTTCTAGGGAGAAGAAGGCTCTGATTGTGAAATGAAGTTCTACTCTAGAGATGTGGAGCCCTCATAGTCATGTTTGGATGAGTCAGTGAGTCAACCACTATACTTGTATTGTCTGCTTTGCTTTTACCAAACTATGTTTCAACAGCAATCCTATTCCAACCTCCTCTCAAGGTTAGATCCAACAGTGGACACCAGGGTTGCCTCCTTCTTTCCTTCTAAATAGAACCCCAGTTTTGCTCAGGTGCTCCCCTTTAACAAACTCCATGGAGGACCTGACCTCCTTAACAGCCATAAGAGTTGGCCTGATAAGGGAAAATAAAATCTTATTGTCCTTGTCTTGTTAGTTCAATGTTCAGGTGACCTAATTCTGGCCAAAGATACATGAGGGGAAATCTAAACACTTCTGGAGAAATTCTCCTCTCTTCTAAGACACAGCTGCAGAAAGAGAATCTCTTTCCATTGAAGATTCCCATGTTGAAACACATTTTTCAGAACTGCTGTGGCCATTTTGTTGCCAGGATGAAGATGAAGCTAATATTAACAGTGAGGGAGAAAAAAGATAGTAAGGAGTCTTTCAAAACATTGATGTGGCTGGGTGTGATGGTGTATGCCTGTAATCCCAGCATTTGAGAGGCTAAGGCAGGAGGATCATTATAAGTTCAAAGCCAGCCTGAACAAAAAATACATTCATGAGCAATTAAATCAACTTATTCCAAAATCCACTCCATCACTGAATTTTTAGTTATGTGAAAAAATACACTTCTTTATTGCTTAAATCAATCTGATTCAGAGTTCCTTTTACTTGTGGCTAAAAGCATTCAAATTATTAAAATTCCCAAGAGGAAGGTGAAATATCTGAACATATATTTTTCATTCT